CTTATGCCGACGGAATGTAAGTATTTGTCTCTTCTTGTGATGCCTCGGGTGTGCCGTGAAGCTGCATTGAGGAGAGCACGAGGCGTTAGTGTCCGTGTTATTTTTTTGGGCGCCACTGCTCTTTTTGGGTGTGTGATCCGACTGTGTGGTGGGTCGGTTGAGGGGGAGGACGTGGATGGGCCGCGCCTACCCGACTGCTGTGCCTTATTTTGCTGAACGCCCTGACCGAATTGCTGCTCTCCTTTTGCTTGCCCTACCGGGCCTGGCGACCTCTTGAGGAGCGGTGCGACGGCGTGGACTGTCGGGCTGCTGAGGAGGCCGTGGCTGCGCGGGATGTCCTGCGGTACTTTTTGCGTTTCGGGACTACTGTAGAGAAGAGGACATTTCATGCCTCCTTCACGTCCAGGAGAGTCAATGGAGGGATCACGGTTGTGGGATATCACTTCACGAGAGCCTGCGCCCGTTGGTCGCGTCGACGGTGCGCTCTGTGTGTCTTCGATCCCTGCCGGAGCATCCCGCTGTTTTTGTTCCGGTGAACGGGAAAATCCACCGACACGCCGAGCGGGTTGCGGGGATGTTGCGGCGAGGAACGCTTTAATAGAGGCCCTGCAGTGGGGGAGCGCTGCTTGCAAGGATCCCGCAGCACTTGGGATTTTTCTTGCACCTACTTTCTGCTGTCTGTCTGTTGGTTGGTGCCGTTTGCCGGGGGGTGTATTGGCCCGTGCGCAAACGTCAGTGTCTCTGCTTCTGCCTGCGGCCTCACAGTGCTTGAGCCGTTGTTGACGGGGAGAGTAATTACTGTAGCGGTTACGACGACGCTGGTGTGTTACACTGTGGATGGCGGCGCCACCCTTTCTTCTGCCACGCTCTGTTTTGGTGCTTTTTAAATTCTAATTTGATTTCCTGCGCGCAACCACACTCAAACTGGGAAGGAAAACAAACGCTAATCGATACTATGAAGTTCGAAGGCACTGAAGAACCAACAACAGCACACACACAAACACATATTTGTATGCTCTCACGTGTTGCTGCAGTGAAGGCACCCCGCACACACAACCGTCGCCGCGTGACCGGATCCAGCTGAATGAGGAGGGAAGGAGGAGAGAGTGAGCCGCAGGGGCCCAACATGTCCCGGCACCTCCTCTACTCTGCGGTGCTGCTCCTCCTCCTTTTTGTGACGTTGCGCTGCGGTACTTGTGGAGCCACGCCTGCAAAGGAGAATGATGGCAAGAATGATTTAAGAAGTGTTCAGGAGCCGGAGAAAGTCGATCTATTTTTTTCACAGACGAAGGTGTTGCAGCCGAGGGATGAGGTTGTTCCAGGTACGACGAGGGATTCATTTGTTTTACCCTTTCTCGTCAGTGCTGGTGGAGTGACGGCTGCTTTTGCCGAGGGTCACATTTGGATGCCGAATGTCAAGGTGGTCAATTAACTAAGCCCTTTTCTTCCGATGTTGTTGCGGGGTACATCGACCCTGCGTGGAATTCTTCCACTCTTGTTGGTGAGGCCAATAAAGTATACACGGAGGGCACAAACTGTGCTTGGTGAAGCGGAGGGAAAGGAGGGTCTGGGTGTTGTGCACCACTCCACAACAGTCACGAAGGGCCACGGAGCGTTTCTTCTTGCGGGAGGCTCGGATGTGTCCTACGAAGGTGGGTGTTGGAGAGAGGGCGGCTTGGAGCTGCAACTGTTTGTGGGCGATGTCACGAATCCCACGGGTGGCAAGCAGAGTGGACGGATCGAATGGGGCGGCCCCAAACACTCTCGAAACTGATCTCCTCTGCTTCTCACGAAGGTGAACGGACGGAGTTCATTGCTTCTGGTGGCGCAGGTGTTGTGATGGAGGATGGCACCTTCCTGTTTCCACTGATGGCGGTGAATGAGGCAGAATACGTTTGCTCCATGACCATTTACTCGACGGACAACGGCAGTAACTGGGCGCTCTCTGAGGGCATGTCCCCTGCGGAATGCCTTAACCCCGCGTCAGCGAGTGGGAGGGATCACTTCCCATGATTGTTGACTGCGAGAATGGCCGGAGGGTGTACGAGTCGCGTGACATGGGGGCAACGTGGACGGAGGCCATCGGGAAGCTTTTAGGCGTGTGTGTCAACGCCGGATCGGGAGCCTCTCAGAAAGAAAGCCTGCGTGTGGATGCCCCCATTACCGCGACCATTGAGGGAAGGAAGGTCATGCTGTGCACTCAGAGAGGGTACGCCTCGGTGGAGAATAGGACCAATCCGCTTTACGTTTGGGTCACGGCCAACAACCGCTCGTTTTATGTTGGACCGGTTGTCATGGACAGTGCTGTGAATTGGGAGCTCGCCAGCACCCTGCTGCACTCGGACGGGGATTTGCATCTTTTACAACGGAGGGGCAACGGTGAGGGCCGTGCCATTTCGCTTTCCCGCTTGACGGAGGAAGCGAGTGCAATCAAGTCCGTCCTCAGTGCTGGGGTGCAAAAGGACACTTTCTTCTCCAGCGTGTCAATACCCACGGCGGGTCTGGTGGCAGTTTCGTCCGATGCGGCCAGTGATGGCACGTGGAACGACGAGTACCGTTGCCTGCATGCGACGGTGACGAATGCAGTGAAGGACAACGATGGGTTCCGATTCACGGGACTTGAGTCCAGGGCAATATGGCCCGTGAACACTCGGGATGATAACGTGCGTCATGTATTCTTGAGCCACCACTTCACACTTGTGGCATCGGTGACCATCGAATAGGCCCCGAGTGGGAACACTCCTCCACTGACTGCGGTGCTGGCGGACACTGCGTCCAATCGTACCATGGGACTGTCGTGCAGCCACAATAAGAAGCGGGAGACGGCGTTCGAAGGCACGACAACAACACGGAGGAGCACTTGGGAGCCGAAGAAAGAGTACCAGGCGGTACTTATGCTGCAAGGCAAGAAGGCCTCTGTGCACGTTGACGGTCAGTTGCTGGCGGAATAGGAAGAGGTGCTGTTAACAGGTCAGAAGCCACCTGAGGTCCTGAGGTTTTGCTTTGGCGCGTGCTGTGGGCACTAATCCCCTGTGACGGTGAATGACGTCTTTCTGTACAGCCGCCCACTGAATTCCACTGCGATGCGTGCACCCAAGGACAGGGCCCCCGTTCCGACGAGGGAAGCGGCTCCGACACCACCCGAGAAGATTCGAGTGTTTGACAGCGTCAGGGAGCACATTGCTGGGAATATTACCGAAGAGAAATGAATGAGCACCACGCCCTGGACACGAATTCCCATTACAAATAGTCACCTCGCAGGGTGTGGAGCGGCGTGAGTCCCGACGACCGCCTCGCCTCTCCCAACGACGTGGAATTGACACTGCGTGATTTAGGCGCTAACAACACCGTGCGTGTGTGCGTGTCTTGTGCGTTGCTGCTTCTACTGGGATTGTATTTGGGTGGTGGCAGCTTTCTGAGCCACGGAGTGCGGATCTGCGACGCCTCGCGGAGAATACGTGCCGCACTGCCCACCCTTTTTCACTTATCTTTTATTTATTCAATGTTTTTACTTTTAAATGTCTTTTTAATGCAGTTCAGCTGGAGCAGTAAGTACTGTTGTTTTTTCTTTGCGTAATGTTCGGCTGCTGCACACTGTAATGAGCGACGTGTTTCCCGCTCTTGTTTGCTTTTGTTTTTGCCCACACGCGGTGCCGGCCCTGCGGCTGCGCGTCCCACGGACTGCACGAAAGGAGGTTAGGAGGAACAGGCCGGATGCCGCATGAAATGTGAGGGATGTTGTGTGGGCTGGTGGAACAGTGCAATCTCTTTTATTTATTTTAATTTCCCTTTTTCTTTTCCTGGTGCGGGCAAGGTGTATATACACACGGTCGCTTCGTGCTGCGTGGCGCATGAAATAAAAGTCCTGCCGCATCAATTTTTCCATTAATTTTTCGTTTTATTTTTGGGAGTTATCCCGGACTCCCACCCTTTTCTTTTTTAAAATCCCTGCGGCTTGTTTCTGTAGTTGCCGTATCTGCTGTCACCGTGTGTCTCCGTGTCCCGTTGACTGTTCCTCTGCTGACTGTGCTGTTGACATGCCCTCGTCCCTTTTCTTTTCTTTTTTCCTGCTGGAGGCATCGATGTTCCGCTACGACGATTGTTTGTGTTCCCTTTGCGATGGCAGGAGGGCGACTGAGCGGCGGCCTGCTGAGTGCACTCGGAGGGAGCGGACTGTGTGCGCCGTGTCTCACTGTGAGTGTGGGACGCCAATCCGCCGTTGAAAAGAGAAGTGAAGGACTGCGGCGTTTACTTGTATGTGCCCGTCCCTCTCTTTGCCGCCGTGTCTGTGCTGTGCGCATGGCTCTATCCTGCGGTGCGACGCCGATGGCGCTGCTTTTTGCTGCCCTCGTTGTGCAGCGGGCTTCTCCTCTCCATGACACCGTCCTTGTGTGCGGGACAGTGAAGGGAGTGGAGATTTGTGAGGGAGTGAGGGTGGCCGTTGTTTCCGTACATTTGGATCTTCAGACACGTGGCACTACTCGGCCGCCTCTCGCAGCACCCAGGCCGTGGATCGAGAGAATGTGAGGGTCTGCTCCAAGCAGAAGGAGGACAACGAGATGCAGTGCATGACGGCCAACCTGATCCGTATGTGTGGTTGCAGCGCATGGAGCACGTGGGCCAGTACGCGTTGGGCGTTGCGCTAATGATTGGGGAGGCGGCACGACGTTGCGGCGCAGCGGGATCGCATGACGGACTGCCTGTGCTGTGAGGGGCGCGTGTTGAAGTGAGCGTGTCGTGCCTGTGAGGGACTGAGGAGAGAGGGAATAACAGTAGTGGTGACTGTGGGAGTGTGAGGAACGGTGCACGGGCGAGGAGCGCCCCTCTTTTGTTTTTGATTGTTGTTGAACCGCGCCCGCCTAATTGTTGTTGTTGTGGTGTGTGACTCTCATTGCTGGATGGGACGGTGCGTGGTTGTGTGACTTGTCTCTCCTTTTCTTCCGCTCTGCGTTGACGGGGAGTTATTTTGTGCTGAAGGCTACACGCAAGTGACAGGAGCGATGGCGATGATGATGGCTGGCCGTGTGCTGCTGGTGTGTGCCCTCTGCGTGCTGCGGTGCGTTGCCGGCGGTGTTTATGCGAGGGACGTTGACACCAACGCACTGGGTGGCTGCATGGCGTCGGGAGTGTTGGGTGAGAATGGATCCCACATGCCTGACGGATGTAATAAAACTGCGATTACGGTGCCTTTGCGGTCAGTACTGCCCATTACTGCCGTTGAAGCCGCGGCTGAAGAAGATAATGCTGGTGGTACAAGGAACAATTCGAATTCAAGTGAGAATCTCGAGTCTGGTGCTTCTACTGCTAGCTCTGCTGTTCCAGGGGCTCCTGCTGGTGGTGGAAGCAGTGGAACTTCTGCTGGAGGTCAGGGCACCGGTGGCGTTTCTTCTGGTTCATCTGAAGGACCTTCCACTCCTGCTGCTCTTCCTGCTAGCAGCAGTGGTGGTACAGCGGGGTCCTCCGGCAATAATTCATCTAACACAACAGGGGACTCTCCAACAGGAAATCAGTCGTCTACTGCAGAGGCTCACAACTCCTCGCTACCCGAAATACCGGCAGGGACGACATCCGGCACCGGACACACACGACAAGAGGAAGAAGAGGAAGAAGAAAATGAAAGGCAGCAGCAAAGTGATGAAACACAAGTCCAACAACAAGAGCATGAACACCCCGCGGAAAGTGGCGAAGAATCCGCGAAAGATAAAAACGCCCTTCGTACAAATGCCACCGCAAATACAGGCGACAGTGACGGCAGCACCGCGGTCTCCCACACCACCTCCCCCCTTTTGCCTCTTCTTGTTGTTGTGTGTGCGGCTGCTGCTGCGGTGGTGGCCGCGTGAGAGTGAGGGAGAGAGAGCCGTGCACCGCCCGCACACACACTCGTCCTTCTCTCTCTGTGTGTGTGTCCCCTTGCATGGACTCTCGCCCTCACCTCACCCCACGAGGCACACACAATAATGTGCCCATTGTATATATGCATGCACACCCATGCAGTCCCGTTGGTGCTCTCTTTTGCACGACACGCACCGCTGCCGTCCTGCCTGGCTGCATGGGCGGAGCATCGTAAATTTTTTCTTGTTTTTTTTTTAATTTTCTTTTTTTGTTATTAATTTTCCGTTTTTTTTAATTACTGACCCCTCATCTTTCTTTTTTGCTTTTGGGGGCAGTCAATATGGACGTTTTTTCTTTTCTACTCTTCCCTCTTTTAATTGTTTGTTGCTGCACTCTTCCTGCGAGGAGTGCCGTGTGTTCCCGCCCAACTGCTCCACTCGCACACCCACTGACACGCTCACGACGACGGCCCTGTGCGCCTCGCCTGCTGCACGCATGAGGAGGGGCCGCGACGAACGGCGCGCTGAGGGAGCCGTGACGTGTGGGCGTGCGACGAGGGCCTGTGGGGCGGAGCACACATTTCTTTCCCTCTTGTTTTGTTTTCTTGCGGCCAGGGCGGGCAGACACCCGCAGCGCCACACACACACAGCCACACCCTGCCGCCGTGTTTTTCTTTAAAGTAATGTTTTTGCTTTGCGTGTGCATTTCTCGCGCCGGCAGTTCCTTCGGTGTCGGCCTCGTGAGCATTTCTTTTCCCCTCCGATGATTTTTTCTTTTGCTGCGCTCACTCTCCTGATGGAGTGACGCGACTCCCGTCATGTCTGCGTGCTTCTCTCAGTCCCCACGCACACGAGTGACTGTGCTCTGCGGGCCGCACTCACGCGCCGATGAGAGGGCTGAGGGGAGCAGCAACACGCAGATGACCCCATGAAATATAAACGATGCGCGGACACGCAGAGGGTCGGACGGTTGAAAGACATTTAAATATCTTTTGATTTTCTTTTGCGGGCAAAATAAATGCGGACAGTTTGGTGTGGCCACACGGCAGCCAGGCGATTGTTTAAATTTGTGTGGAACAGTAATGGACGATTTCTTTTTTTTATTTATAATTATTTTGTGTGATGGGGTTTATTTAAGACGAAGGGGAAAGTTTTTTTTTTTTTTTTTTTTTGGTTTTTAAATAAATATTGTGTGAATTGCCATTGCTTGGGCTGCAGTGCAGTCATGAGTTTGAGCGGTCTTGTTGTTGTTGTTTCCGCCATGCACCTCCGCTGTACATTTTTTTGCGTCTCTCCACATGCTCTGGTCGCTGTTTTTTTTTTTTTTTTTTGTGTTTCTGCAGGTACACACAACCACACACACAAGATGCACATTGCAGTGGATTTGAATGCTCCTTTTGCGGTGCATGCTGGCAGTTGCGTGTGGCGGCTGTTGTCTTCTTCCGTGGCCATGAGGAGAAGGGAGGGAGGAGTGCGCAGCCCGAGTCTATTTTCCTGCGGGTGTGATGCACCGCGTGTGACTGCGCTGAGTTGGGCTCCGTGTTCCATTGAGGGCGGGATGGCTGGAAATTTTGGTGCCGCGTCGCTGATGGATGAGGGTTTCTTTGCTGTTGTGGCTGTTGTGGTGGCCGCGGGTTTTTGCTGTTTCCCTTTGGCTGTGGAGATGAGCTGGATGGAGATGGTGGTGGATGTCTTCTCCTCCTGCATGGTGGGCGGCTGCTGGCGTTGTGTGCCTTCCTTGCGTGGATGCCGTCTCGTGGTGTGTGAACTGTGCGGCTGGGCCTGCTGTCCACTCCGCATGTTGTCTGCTCTCTCTCGCTGTATCCGCTGTGCTCCGTCCCTCTCACTCTCTTTCCATTCTTTTTCTTCTGCCTCACCGATCAGCTGACTGAATCCAGCGACTCCACTACGCGTGACGATGACTGCGATGGTGACGATGGTGACGGTGCGGCGCCGTGTTGGTCCTTGCGCTCTTGTGCTGCTGCTGCTCGTCCGTGTGCGTGACGGCTGCTGGGAGTGCTGGAGATGTATCTGGTGATGCGGATGCGGTGGTAGTGCCGGTGGATGTGTCGTGTGCTCCGAGTGACGGCAGCCTGAGCTATCGCGTGCGTGTGTGTGTGGGCGCGGAAGAAGTGTTCTGCTGCCATTGCTGAGGCTCAGCATGAGAATTACACTTTCAGTGGCTTTGGTGTGCGCATGCATGGCAGGAATGGTGAGCTGGGTGCTGTGTGCCATGTGGCCCATGCGGTGCACACATGTGGCAACTGTGCCGCCAGCTGTGCAGCGGAAGAGGAAGGGGCCACCGTTGCCTTCACGATGAATGTGACGGCGCACAAATACGCCGGCCCTTATGAATTGTGGTGGCGCCAATTTTCCCCGACGGAACCATCCATCCGCCTGCACGGAGCGGCGATGCTGACCGGACGGGCATCTGTCGGTTGCCGCCACCCCGTGAAGGGAAGGATGACACAAAATCTGGTGGGACAACTGCGCCGCAAGTCAATGCTGAGCCGTCACGTCAACACGAGGATCGGCGACGGTCTGCGGCGGCTGACGGACCCAACACCGTCGATCCGAGTCCCGCATCCAACACGGCGACCAACACGTCCGAGGCGAGGCCTGAGTTTGCCAGCAATCCGAACGAAGTGATGGTCCCGAATGCATCCAAGAAGAGGCCTTCCTTTGCCAACGGTCCGAGAATATTAGTGGCGTCGAATGCATCCGGGATCATGTCACTTATGGCGGCAGGGAACACGTTGCTGCGGATAACACGGACGAGGTGAGTGAGCGCAGCGCCACTGGACACAAATCTCTCGTTTCAGGAAATGGCGTTGCAGGCAGTGGATTTTTTGGTGAGGGTGATGCGGGCGGATTGACTCAACGCAATGCCTCTGGAAACGAAAACCCAATTGCGAGAATTCACCGCGCAGTATTCCGGGAGCGGTGTGGGTCTACACGACTGCTTTGCCCTGCTCAACGACGCGAAATTGACACTGCGAGAGTTAACTGTTGGCAGAACCGTGCGTGTGTGCGTGTATTGGGTGTTGCTGCTTCTTCTGGGATTGTGCGGAGTTGTGGCGGTATTGTGAGCCGAAGAGTGTGGCATTGCGACTCCTCGCGGAGAACATGTGCCGCGTTCCCTGCGTGTTTTCTTTTATTATTTACATTTCACTGTTGGCTTTGTTGCCTTCCTGGAATGATAAGCATCCTTGCTGTTCCTTTATTTAATGGTCGGTTGCTGCACACTGTCATGGGTGACGTGTTTCTCCTTTTGTTTTTGCCCACACGCGGTGCCGGCCTCATTGCTGTGCGTCCCACGGACTGCACGAAAGGAGGATTGGAGGAACAGGCCGGATGCCGCAATGAAATGTGAAGAGAGTGTTGTGTGGGCTGGTGGAACAGTACGATCTTTTTTCTTCTTACTTTTCTTTTCCTGGTGCGGGCAAGGTGTATATACACACGGTCGCTTCGTGCTGCGTGGCGCATGAAATAAAAGTCCTGCCGCATCAATTTTTCCATTAATTTTTCGTTTTATTTTTGGGAGTTATCCCGGACTCCCACCCTTTTCTTTTTTTTAAATCCCCGCGGCTTGTTTCTGTAGTTACCGTATCTGCTGTCACTGTGTGTCTCCGTGTCCCGTTGAGTGTTCCTCTGCTGACTGTGCAGTTGACATGCCCTCGTTCCTTTTCTTTTCTTTTTTCCTGCTGGAGGCATCGATGTTCCGCTACGATGATTGTTTGTGTTCCCTTTGCGATGGCAGGAGGGCGACTGGGCGGCGGCCTGCTGAGTGCACTCGGAGGGAGCGGACTGTGTGCGCCGTGCCTCACTGTGAGTGTGGGACGCCAAACCGCCGGGGAAGCGAGAAGTGAAGGACTGCGGTGTTTACTTGTATGTGCCCGTCCCTCTCTTTGCCGCCGTGTTTGCTGTGCGCATGGCTCTATCCTGCGGTGCGACGTGGATGGCGTTCTCTCTGCATATGCCTTATGCATGTGCTGTGCGGCGGGCTTCTCCTCGCCATGACACCGCCATTGTGTGCGGGACAGTGGAGGGAGTGGAGATTTGTGAGGGAGTGAGGATGGCCGTTGCTTCCGTACATTTGAATCTTCAGACACGTGGCACCTCTCGGCCGCCTCTCGCAGTTCCCAGGCTGTGGATCGAGAGAATGTGAGGGTCTGCTCCAAGCAGAAGGAGGACAACAAGATGCAGTGCATGACGGCCAACCTGATCCGTGTGTGGTTGCGGCGCATGGAGCACGTGCGCCAGTACGCGTTGGGCGTTGCGCTCATGATTGGGGAGGAGGGGCGGCACGACGTTGCGGCGCAGCGGGATCGCATGACGGACTGCCTGTGCTGGGAGGGGCGCGTGTTGGAGTGAGCGTGTCGTGCCTGTGAGGGACTGAGGAGAGAGGGAATAACAGTAGTGGTGACTGTGGGAGTGTGAGGAACGGTGCACGGGCGAGGAGCGCCCTCTTTTGTTTTGATTTGATTGTTGTTGAGCCGCGCCCACCCAAACGTTGTGTGGTGGTGTGTGACTCTCATTGCTGGATGGGACGGTGCGTGGCTGAATTACTTGTCTCTCTTTTTGCTTTTTGCGTTGACGGGGAGTTAGTTTGTGCTGAAGGCTGCGCGCAAGTAACAGGAGTGATGGCGATGATGATGGCCGGCCGTGTGCTGCTGGTGTGTGCCCTCTGCGTGCTGCGGTGCGGTGCCGGCGGTGTTTATGCGAGGGACGTTGACACCAACGGACTGGGTGGCTGCATGGCGTCGGGAGTGTTGGGTGAGAATGGATCCCACATGCCTGACGGATGTAATAAAACTGCGATTACGGTGCCTTTGCGGTCAATACTGCCCATTACTGCCGTCGAAGCCTCAGAGGGAGAAAGTGATGCTCTTGCAACAAAGAACGATTCGCATTCAAAAGAAAATCCCGACGCTGGTGTTAGTGGTTCTACTGCTGGTCCAGGGGCTCCTGCTGCTGCTGGTGGTGGCCGCGGTGGAGGAGGCGATGGTCCTGGTAGTGGAACTTCCACTGGAGGTCAAGGCACCGGTGGCATTTCTCCTGCTTCTTCTGCTCCTGCTGCTCCTCCTCCTCCCGCTCCTCCTTCAGGTCCTGCTGCTGCTCTTGGTGCTGATTCTTCAGCTGACAGAATTGGTGGTACAGCGGGGTTCTCAGGCACTAATTCATCTAACACAACAGGGGACTCTCCAACAGGAGATCAGACGCCTGCAGCAGCAGCGGCTCACAACTCCTCGCTACCCGAAGGACCGACAGGGACGACATCCGGCACTGGACACACACGACAAGAAGAAGAAGAGGAAGAAGAAGAAGAAATGCAGCAGCAAAGTGATGAAACACAAGTCCAACAACACCAACAGCATGAACACCCCGCGGAAAATGGCGAAGAATCCGCGAAAGATAAAAACGCCCTTCGTACAAATGCCACCGCAGATACAGGCGACAGTGACGGCAGCACCGCGGCCTCCCACGCCACCTCCCCTCTTTTGCCTCTTCTTGTTGTTGCGTGTGCGGCGGCTGCTGCGGTGGTGGCCGCGTGAGAGTGAGGGAGAGAGAGCCGTGCACCGCCCGCACACACACTCTTCCTTCTCTCTCTCTGTGTGTGTCCCCTTGCATGGACTCTCGCCCTCACCTCACCCCACGAGGCACACACATAATGTGCCCATTGTATATATGCATGCACACCCATGCAGGCCCGTTGGTGCTCTCTTTTGCACGACACGCACCGCTGCCGTCCTGCCTGGCTGCATGGGCGGAGCACCGTAACTGTTTCTGTTTTGTTTTTATTGCATTGAGTGGGCGACCTCTCTCTCTCTCCCTCTGTGTGTGTGTTCTGCTTTACGGGAGTAATGAGAGTGTGTGTGCGCTGGTCGTCCCACGCTTCGGCTTTTTGTTTTGTTTTCCTTTTTGATTTTGTGGTTGAGTGCACCCATTCCGCGGCTGCGTGTGTGTGTGTGTGTGATGATATGAGTAATTTGCGTGTGTGCTATCCGCCTCTCTCTGCCGTTGCTTTCTTTGCTCTCTCTTGATCTGCACAGCTACTCCGCAGGTGTAGGCGCTGACAAAAACCCAAATGCCATGTCGCTCACGCTGTGGAGTGGTGTAAACGCTGGGAATACACGCACGCACAGGCTTCTGGCTGCTGCGACCCTCGCCAACGTTGCGGTGACGCCGAAGACGTGCGAGTACGGCCGCGAGAACGAGACGGCGGAATGCTGCCGCAACTGCAGCCCGTGCGGCCGCTACCCCGTGCTGCAGACGGAGGAGGGCTGTGTGTTCGAGTCCAACGCCATCCTGCGCCACATCGCGCGCCTTGACCGGAGCGGCGGCTTCCTGTACGGCCGCACGCCGCTGGAGGGCAGCCAGGTGGACATGTGGCTCGACTTTTCGGCAACGGAGCTGGACGCTGCCCCCGCACCGTTTGTGCAGCACGCCTTCCGTGGCGGGCAGCGGCTCGCCAACGCGATGGACTGCGTGCACGAGGTGCTGCGTGCGCTGGAGGCGTGGCTGGAGACGCGCACATTCCTCGTGGACGAGCGCGTGGCGGTTGCGTTTGCGCCGCAATGGCACTATCGTCCGAGCGGTGCGGAGGGAGAGGCACTGACGAGGAAGTACCGGAACGCGTACCGCCTGTACAACACGGTGGTGCAGCAGCCGAAGACGGTGGAGGTGCTGCCGCCGAGCCGTTTGTGCTGGACGCGTTGAAGCGCGAGTACAGCAACACGCGAGAGCATATAAATGTGCGTGTGTGGGCGGTGTGTGTGCTGTTGGTCCTTTCGGAGACGTCAAATTTCACAGTAGCAATTCGCTCTTGGTGTTAAATTCTTTTCTTTGTGTGATTGAGAGAGAAATGAAAAAAAAAAAACATGCCGACAGAAGGGGTGAAACAGTGAGCACCGCCAATCAACCAGAGTGAATGGCACCATCATCCTCACCGCAGGCACTCCAAACATCAACAACTCACGCGCACAGGCACACGGAATAAAGAAAATGGACTGCGCCGGAAGCAAAGCAACTGCCATCAAAAGCAGAAGCCACTGCGGGTGCTTCTGCATCGCGTCAGCACACACCGAGCAACGTCCACACAAAAAAACCGGCGGAATGCAAAACGGCACAGCCGCCCCTCGCAGCACACACGCGCTGCCGCCAGTCATTTGAATTCTTTTCCCTCCGACGCACCCGCTCGACCGCCGGCGCACATCACCCCGCACAGCCGGAGAATCCCCTGTCGGTCAATCCACGGCGGGAGAGACACATCGGCACGTGCAGCTGCTTGGCGGGAAGCAAAACACACTTATCCCAGGCACCCAAAGGCTCACCGCTCACTGGCTGCACGCCACCAACATCGCAGCCGCAACACGGCCAGGGGACGAATCGCGGGCTACTGTCCTCCATCCTCGCAAGGCACCGCGGCCTGGAAGCACGTCCGAAAGGCCAAACACAAGCCGCATGGAGCTGCGTCTTCGATGCGCCGTGTGAGCCACACCACGGTGGCCGTTGTCTTTCCGCGAAGAACACAGACGACAGTTAAGAGAACGAAATAAAATCGGAGCCGCAGAGGGCACACACCAGCAGCACACGGCCGGCCATCATCATCGCCATCACTCCTGTCACTTGCGTGCAGCCTTCAACACAAACTAACTCCCGTCAACGCAAAAAGCAAAAAGAGAGAAAAGTCACGCAACCACGCACCGTCCCATCCAGCAATGAGAGTCACACACCACAACAACAATTAGGCGGGCGCGGCTCAACAGCAATCAAATCAAAACAAAAGAGGGCGCTCCTCGCCCGTGCACCGTTCCTCACACTCCCACAGTCACCACTACTGTTATTCCCTCTCTCCTCAGTCCCTCACAGGCACGCCACGCTCACTCCAACACGCGCCCCTCACAGCACAGGCAGTCCGTCATGCGTTCCCGCTGCGCCGCAACGTCGTGCCGCCTCCCCAATCATGAGCGCAACGCCCAACGCGTACTGGCACACGTGCTCCATGCGCCGCAACCACACACCAGTCAGGTTGGCCGTCATGCACTGCATCTTGTTGTCCTCCTTCTGCTTGGAGCAGACCCTCACATTCTCTCGATCCACAGCCTGGGAACTGCGAGAGGCGGCCGAGTGGTGCCACGTGTCTGAAGATCCAAATGTACGGAAACAACGGCCACCCTCACTCCCTCACACATCTCCACTCCCTTCACTGTCCCGCACACAATGGCGGTGTCATGGAGAGGAGAAGCCCGCTGCACAACGCAAATACGAAGGCAGCAAAAAGCAGCGCCATCGGCGTCGCACCGCAGGATAGAGCCATGCGCACCGCACACACACGGCGGCAAAGAGAGGGACGGGCACATACAAGTAAACGCCGCAGTCCTTCACTTCTCTTTTCAACGGCGGATTGGCGTCCCACACCCACAAATGAGGCACGGCGCACACAGTCCGCTCCCTCCGAGTGCACTCAGCAGGCCGCCGCCCAGTCACCCTCGTGCCATCGCAAAGGGGAACACAAACAATCGTCGTAGCGGAACATCGATGCCTCCAGCAGGAAAAAAGAAAAGAAAAGGAACGAGGGCATGTCAACAGCACAGTCAGCAGAGGAACACTCAACGGGACACGGAGACACACAGTGACAGCAGATACGGTAACTACAGAAACAAGCCGCAGGGATTTAAAAAAAAGAAAAGGGTGGGAGTCCGGGATAACTCCCAAAAATAAAACGAAAAATTAATGGAAAAATTGATGCGGCAGGACTTTTATTTCATGTGCCACGCAGCACGAAGCGACCGTGTGTATATACACCTTGCCCGCACCAGGAAAAGAAAAAGGGAAATTAAAATAAATAAAAGAGATTGCACTGTTCCACCAGCCACACAAAACTCTCTTCACATTTCGTGCGGCATCCGGCCTGTTCGTCCTAACCTCGTTTCGTGCAGTCCGTGGGACGCGCAGCCGCAGGGCCGGCACCGCGTGTGGGCAACAACAAAAACAAAACAAGAGCGGGAAACACGTCGCTCATTACAGTGTGCAGCAGCCGAACATTAAATAAAGGAACAGCAAGGATGCTTATCATTCCAGGAAGGCAACAAAACCAACAGTAAAATGTAAATAATAAAAGAAAACACGCAGGGAACGCGGCACATGTTCTCCGTGAGGAGTCGCAATGCCACACTCTTCGGCTCACAATACCGCCACAACTCCACACAATCCCAGAAGAAGCAGCAACACCCAATACACGCACACACGCACAGTGCTGCCAACAGTTAACTCTCGCAGTGTCAATTTCGCGTCATTTCGCAGGGCAAAGCAGTCGTGTAGACCCACACCGCTCCCGGAATACTGCGCAGTGAATTCTCGTAATTGGGGTTTGCTCTCGTGTCCAGAGTCATTGCGTTGAGTCAATCCGCCCGCATCACCCTCAGCAACAAATCCACTGCCTGCAACGCCATTTTATAAAACTAGAGATTTGTGTCCAGTGGCGCTGCGCTCACTCACCTCGTCCGTGTTATCCGCAGCAACGTTTTCCCTGCCGCCATAAGTGACAGACATGATCCCGGATGCATTCGACGCCACTAATATTCTCGGGCCGTTGGCAAAGGAAGGCCTCTTCTTGGATGCATTCGGGAACATCACTTCGTTCGGATTGCTGGCAAACTCAGGCCTCGTCTCGGACGTGTTGGTCGCCGTGTTGGATGCGGGACTCCGATCGACGGTGTTGGGTCCGTCAGCCGCCGCAGACCGTCGCCAATCCTCGTGTTGACGTGACGGCTCAGCATTGACTTGCGGCGCAGTTGTCCTACCAGATTTTGTGTCATCCCTCCCTTCACGGGGTGGCGGCAACTGACAGATGCCCGTCCGGTCAGCATCGCCGCTCCGTGCAGGCGGATGGATGGTTCCATCGGGGGAAAATTGACGCCACCACAATTCATAAGGGCCGGCGTATTTATGCGTCGTCACATTCATCGTGGAGGCAACGGTGGCCCCTTCCTCTTCCGCTGCACAGCTGGCAGCACAGTTGCCACATGTGTGCACCGCATGGGCCACATGGCACACAGCACCCAGCTCACCATTCCTGCCATGCATGCGTAAATCAAAGCCACTGAAAGTGTAATTCTCATGCTGAGCCTCAGCACCGGCAGCAGAACACTTCTTCCACGCACACACACAAGCACGCGATAGCTCAGGCTGCCGTCACTCGGAACACACGACACATCCACCGGCACAACCACCGCATCCGCATCACCAGATACATCTCCAGCACTCCCAGCAGTCGTCACGCACACGGACGAGAAGCAGCAGCACAAGAGCGCAAGAACCAACACGGCGCCGCACCGTCACCATCGTCACCATCGCAGTCATCGTCACGCGTAGTGGAGTCGCTGGAGTCAGTCAGCTGATCGGTGGTACAGAAGAAAAAGAATGCAACAAGAGAGAGAGGGACGGAGCACAGCGGATACAGCAAGAGAGCAGACAACATGAGGAGAGGGCAGCAGGCCCAGCCGCACAGTTCATACACCACGAGACGGCATCCATGCAAGGAAGGCACACAACGCCAGCAGCCGCCCACCATGCAGGAGGAGAAGACATCCACCACCATCTCCATCCAGCTCATCTCCACACCCAAAGGGAAACAGCGAAAACGCCGCGGCCACCACACCAGCCACAACAGCAAAGAAACCCTCATCCATCCATGACGCGGCAACAAAATTTCCAGCCATCCCGCCCTCAACGAGAAACGGAGCCCAACTCAACGCAGTCACACGCGGTGCATCACACCCGCAGGAAAGGAGACTCGGGCTGCGCACTTCCTCCCCCTCCCTTCTCCTCATGGCCACGGAAGAAGACAACAGCCGCCACACGCAACTGCCAGCATGCACCGCAAAAGGAGCATTCATATCCACTGCAATGTGCATCTTGTGGTTGTGTGGTTGTGTGTGCCTGCAGAAACACAAAACAAAAAAAAACAGCGACCAGAGTATGTGGAGAGACGCACAAAAATGTACAGCGGAGGTGCATGGCGGAAACAACAAGAAGAAGGCCGCTCAAACTCATGACTGCACTGCAGCCCAAGCAATGGCAATTCACAAAAGATTTATTTAAAACCAAAAAAAAAAAAAAAATCTTTCCCCTTCGTCTTAAATAAACCCCATCACACAAAATAATTATAAATAAAAAAAAGAAATCGTCCATCACTGTTCCACACAAATTTTAAAAATCGCCTGGCTGCCGTGTGGCCACACCAAACTGTCCGCATTTATTTTGCCCGCAAAAGAAAATTAAAAGATATTTAAATGTTTTTCAACCGTCCGACCCTCTGCGTGTCCGCACATCGTTTATATTTCATGCGGTCATCTGCGCGTTGCTGCTCCCCTCAGCCCTCCCATCGGCGCGTGAGTGCGGCCCGCAGAGCACAGTCACTCGTGTGTGTGGGGACTGAGAGAAGCACGCAGACACGACGGGAGTCGCGTCACTCCATCGGGAGAGTGAGCGCAGCAAAAGAAAAAATCATCGGAGGGGAAAAGAAATGCTCACGAGGCCGACACCGAAGGAACTGCCGGCGCGAGAAATGCACGCAAAGCAAAAAAAAATTACTTTAAAGAAAAACACGGCGGCAGGGTGTGGCTGTGTGTGTGGCGCTGCGGGTGTCTGCCAGCCCTGGCCGCAAAAGAAAACAAAACAAGAGGGAAGAAATGTGTGCGCCGCCCCACAGGCCCTCGTCGCACGCCCACACGTCACGGCTCCCTCAGCGCGCCGTTCGTCGCGGCCCCTCCTCATGCGTGCAGCAGGCGAGGCGCACAGGGCCGTCGTCATGAGCGTGTCGGTGGGTGTGCGAGTGGAGCAGTTGGGCGGGAACACACGGCGCCCTCGCAGGAAGAGTGCAGCAACAAACAATTAAAAGAGGGAAGAGTAGAAAAGAAAAAACGTCCATAGTGATTGCCCCCAAAAGCAAAAAAGAAAGATGAGGGGGTCAGTAATATATAAACGCTCATAGAAGAAGCAAATTAAAAAAAAGAAAATTAAAAAAAAAACAAGAAAAAATTTACGATGCTCCGCCCATGCAGCCAGGCAGGACGGCAGCGGTGCGTGTCGTGCAAAAGAGAGCACCAACGGGCCTGCATGGGTGTGCATGCATATATACAATGGGCACATTATTGTGTGTGCCTCGTGGGGTGAGGTGAGGGCGAGAGTCCATGCAAGGGGACACACACACAGAGAGAAGGACGAGTGTGTGTGCGGGCGGTGCACGGCTCTCTCTCCCTCACTCTCACGCGGCCACCACCGCAGCAGCACACACAACAACAAGAAGAAGAGGCAAAAGAGGGGAGGTGGCGTGGGAGACCGCGGTGCTGCCGTCACTGTCGCCTGTATTTGCGGTGGCATTTGTACGAAGGGCGTTTTTATCTTTCGCGGATTCTTCGCCACTTTCCGCGGGGTGTTCATGCTGTTGTTGTTGTTGGACTTGTGCTTCACCACTTTGCTGCTGCTTTTCATTTTCTTCTTCTTCTTCTTCCTCTTCTTCTTCCTGTCCTTTGTGTCCAGTGCCAGATGTCGTCCTTGTCGGTCCTTCAGCTGGCGTGGAGTTGTGAGCCGCTGCTGCAGCAGGCGTCTGAACTCCTGTTTGAGAGTCCCCTGCTGTGTTAGATGAATTACTGCCTGGGGACCCCGCCTCACCATCACCGCTGCCAGCAGCAGGAGCCCCGGCACCAAGAGCAGCAGGAGGACCAGAAGGAGGAGCGGGAGTAGCAGGAGGAGGAGGGCCAGCAGAACCAGAAGGAATGCCACCGGTGCCTTGACCTCCAGTAGAAGTTCCGCTGCCTCCACCACCAGCAGCAGCAGGACCAGCAGGGCCAGCAGTAGAGCCAGAACCAGAACCACCAGCGTCGGAAGTCTCACTTGAATTCGAATTGTTCTTTGGTGCGAGAGCATCACCTTTTCCAGTCGAAGCTTCAATGGCAGTAATGGGCAGTACTGACCGCAAAGGCACCGTAATCGCCGTTTTATTGCATCCGTCAGGCATGTGGGATCCATTCTCACCCAACACTCCCGACGCCATGCAGCCACCCAGTGCGTTGGTGTCAACGTCCCTCGCATAAACACCGCCGGCAACGCACCACAGCACGCAGAGGGCACACACCAGCAGCACACGGCCAGTCATCATCATCGCCATCACTCCTGTCACTTGCGCGCAGCCTTCAGCACAAAATAACTCCCCGTCAACGCAAAAAGCAAAAGGAGAGAAAAGTCACGCAACCACGCACCGTCCCATCCAGCAATGAGAGTCACACACCACAACAACAACATTTGGGCGGGCGCGGCTCAACAACAATCAAAAAACAAAAGAGGAGCGCTCCTCGCCCGTGCACCGTTCCTCACACTCCCACAGTCACCACTACTGTTATTCCCTCTCTCCTCAGTCCCTCACAGGCACGCCACACTCACTCCAACACGCGCCCCTCACAGCACAGGCAGTCCGTCATGCGTTCCCGCTGCGCCGCAACGTCGTGCCGCCTCTCCTCCCAAATCATGAGCGCAACGCCCAACGCGTACTGGCGCACGTGCTCCATGCGCTGCAACCACACACCAGTCAGGTTGGCCGTCATGCACTGCATCTTGTCGTCCTTCTGCTTGGAGCAGACCCTCACACCTTCTCAATCCACAGCCCGGGAACTGCGAGAGGCGACCGAGTAGTGCCACGTGTCTGAAGATCCAAATGTACGGAAACAACGGCCACCCTCACTCCCTCACACATCTCCACTCCCTTCACTGTCCCGCACACAAGGGCGGTGTCATGTGGAAGAGGAGCCCGCTGCACAGCACATGCATAAGGCATATGCAGAGAGAACGCCATCCACGTCGCACCGCAAGTAACAGCTATGCGCCCAGCACACACACAAAAGCAGGGAAAAAGGGACGGGGCGTCACCAAATCCACGCTGCAGTCCTTTACTTCTCTCTTCCCCGGCGGTTTGGCGTCCCACACTCACAGTGAGGCACGGCGCACACAGTCCGCTCCCCTCCGAGTGCACTCAGCAGGCCGCCGCCCAGTCACCCTCGTACCGTCGTAACGGGGAACAGAAACAATCGCTGTCGCGGACCATCGGTGCCACTGGCAGAAAAGAAGAAGTGGGGGCATTTCAACAGAGCAGACAGCAGAGGTACAGTCAACGGGACAAGTAGACACACAGTGACAGTGGATACGGTAACAATGGAAGCACGCTGCAGTGAGTTACCAAAGAAAAGGAAAAAGTGAGAGTCCGGCATGACCCTCAAAAGAAACAATTAGGAAAATAGATTAGGTCGTAATTTTATTTCATGCGCCATGCAACGCAATAAAAACGACCGGGTGCATACATTTTTCCCGCACAAGAAACGGAAAGTAAGAAAAAAAAAGGATCGTACTCTTCCACCAGCCCACACAACTCTCCTCACATTTCATTGAGGCATCCGGCCTGTTCCTCCAATCCTCCTTTCGTGCAGTTCGTGGGACGCACAGCAATGAGGCCGGCACCGCGTGTGGGCAACAGAAACAAAACAAGAGGAGAAGCACGTCACCCATGACAGTGTGCAGCAACCGACCATTAAATAAAGGAACAGCAAGGATGCTTATCATTCCAGGAAGGCAACAAAGCCAACAGTAAAATGTAAATAATAAAAGAAAACACGCAGGGAACGCGGCACATGTTCTCCGCGAGGAGTCGCAATGCCACACTCTTCGGCTCACAATACCGCCACAACTCCACACAATCCCAGAAGAAGCAGCAACACCCAATACACGCACACACGCACAGTGCTGCCAACAGTTAACTCTCGCAGTCTCAATTTCGCGTCGTTGAGCAGGGCAAAGCAGTCGTGTAGACCCACACCGTTTCCGGAATACTGCGCGGTGAATTCTCGTAATTGGGTTTTTTCGTTTCCAGAGGCATTGCGTTGAGTCAATCCGCCCGCATCACCCTCACCAAAAAATCCACTGCCTGCAACGCCATTTTCTGAAAGGAGAGTTTTGTGTCCAGTGGCGCTGCGCTCACTCACCTCGTCCGTGTTATCCGCAGCAACGTGTTCCCTGCCGCCATAAGTGACAGACACGATCCCGGATGCATTCGACGCCACTAATATTCTCGGGCCGTTGGCAAAGGAAGACCTCTTCTTGGATGCTTTCGGGACCATCACTTCGCTCGGATTGCTGGCAAACTCAGGCCTCGTCTCGGACGTGTTGGTCGCCGTGTTGGATGCGGGACTCCGATCGACGGTGTTGGGTCCGTCAGCCGCCGCAGACCGTCGCCAATCCTCGTTCTGATGTGACGGCTCAGCATTGACTTGCGGCGCAGTTGTCCCACCAGATTTTGTGTCATCCTTCCCTTCACGGGGCGGCGGCAACTGACGGATGCCCGTCCGGTCAGCATCGCTGCTCCGTGCAGGCGGATGGATGGTTCCATCGGGGGAAATTGACGCCGCCACAATTCACAAGGGCCGGCGTATTTGTGCGCCGTCACATTCATCGTGAAGGCAACGGTGGCCCCTTCCTCTTCCGCTGCACAGCTGGCAGCACAGTTGCCACATGTGTGCACCGCATGGGCCACATGGCACACAGCACCCAGCTCACCATTCCTGCCATGCATGCGTAAATCAAAGCCACTGAAAGTGTAATTCTCATGCTGAGCCTCAGCAATGGCAGCAGAACACTTCTTCCACGCCCACACACACACACACGCGATAGCTCAGGCTGCCGTCACTCGGAGCACACGACACATCCACTGGCACAACCACCGCATCCGCATCACCAGATACATCTCCAGCACTCCCAGCAGCCGTCACGCACACGGACGAGCAGCAGCAGCACAAGAGCGCAAGGACCAACACGGCGCCGCACCGTCACCATCGTCACCATCGCAGTCATCGTCACGCGTAGTGGAGTCGCTGGAGTCAGTCAGCTGATCGGTGGTACAGAAGAAAAAGAATGGAAAGAGAGTGAGAGGGACGGAGCACAGCGGATACAGCGAGAGAGAGCAGACAACATGCGGAGTGGACAGCAGGCCCAGCCGCACAGTTCACACACCACGAGACGGCATCCACGCAAGGAAGGCACACAACGCCAGCAGCCGCCCACCATGCAGGAGGACAACACATCCACCACCATCTCCCCCAGCTCATCTCCACAGCCAAAGGGAAACGGCAAAAACACCGCGGCCACCACACAACGCACACGGAGCAAGAGAACCCTCATCCATCCATCACGCGGCACCAAAATTTCCAGCCATCCCGCCATCAATGGGACACGGAGCCCAACTCAACGCAGTCACACGCGGTGCATCACACCCGCAGGAAAATAGACTCGGGCTGCGCACTCCTCTCCCTCCCTTCTCCTCATGGCCACGGAAGAAGACAACAGCCGCCACACGCAACTGCCAGCATGCACCGCAAAAGGAGCATTCATATCCACTGCAATGTGCATCTTGTGGTTGTGTGGTTGTGTGTGCCTGCAGAAACACAAAACAAAACAAAACAAACAGCGACCAGAGCATGTGGAGAGACGCACAAAAGTGTACAGCGGAGGTGCATGGCGGAAACAACAACAACAACACCGCTCAAACTCATGACTGCACCGCAGCCCAAGCAATGGAAATTCAAACATGATTTATTTAAAAACCAAAAAAAAAAAAAAAACGTTCCCCTTCGTCTTGTATAAACCCCATCACACAAAATAATTATAAATAAAAAAAAGAAATCGTCCATTACTGTTCCACACAAATTTAAAAAGCAGCCGGCTGCCGTGTGGCCACACCAAACTGTCCGCATATATTTTGCCCGCAAAAGAAAATCAAAAGATATTTAAATGTCTTTCAACCGTCTGACCCTCCGCGTGTCCGCACATCGCTTATATTTCATGCGGTCATCTGCGCGTTGCTGCTCCCCTCAGCCCTCTCATCGGCGCGTGAGTGCGGCCCGCAGAGCACAGTCACTCGTGTGCGTGGGGACTGAGAGAAGCACGCAGACATGACGGGAGTCGCGTCACTCCATCGGGAGAGTGAGCGCAGCAAAAGAAAAAATCATCGGAGGGGAAAAGAAATGCTCACGAGGCCGACACCGAAGGAACTGCCGGCGCGAGAAATGCACACGCAAAGCAAAAACATAACTTTAAAGAAAAACACGGCGGCAGGGTGTGGCTGTGTGTGTGGCGCTGCGGGTGTCTGCCAGCCCTGGCCGCAAACAAAACAAAACAAGAGGGAAAGAAATGTGTGCGCCGCCCCACAGGCCCTCGTCGCACGCCCACACGTCACGGCTCCCTCAGCGCGCCGTTCGTCGCGGCCCCTCCTCATGCGTGCAGCAGGCGAGGCGCACAGGGCCGTCGTCATGAGCGTGTCGGTGGGTGTGCGAGTGGAGCAGTTGGGCGGGAACACACGGCGCCCTCGCAGGAAGAGTGCAGCAACAAACAATTAAAGAGGGAAGAGTAGAAAAGAAAAAACGTCCATATTGACTGCCCCAAAAGCAAAAAAAAAAGAATGGTTTAGTAAAATATATAAACGCTCATAGAAGAAGCAAATTAAAAAAATTAAATTTAGAAAAAAAAAACAGAAACAGTTACGATGCTCCGCCCATGCAGCCAGGCAGGACGGCAGCGGTGCGTGTCGTGCAAAAGAGAGCACCAACGGGCCTGCATGGGTGTGCATGCATATATACAATGGGCACATTATGTGTGTGCTTCGTGGGGTGAGGTGAGGGCGAGAGTCCATGCAAGGGGACACACACACAGAGAGAGAAGGACGAGTGTGTGTGCGGGCGGTGCACGGCTCTCTCTCCCTCACTCTCACGCGGCCACCACCGCAGCAGCAGCCGCACACGCAACAACAAGAAGAAGCAAAAGAGGGGAGGTGTTATGGGAGACCGCGCTGCTGCTGTCACTGTCGCCTGTATTTGCGGTGGCATTTGTACGAAGGACGTTTTTATCTTTCGCGGATTCTTCGCCATTTTCCGCGGGGTGTTCATGCTGTTGATGTTGTTGGACTTGTGCTTCATCACTTTGCTGCTGCTTTTCATTTTCTTCCTCTTCTTCTTCTTCTTTTTCCTGTCGTGTGTGTCCAGTGCCGGATGTCGTCCCTGCCGCTCCTTCGGGTGGCGAGGTTTCGTTAGCCGCTGCAGCAGGCGTTTGATTTCCTGTTGAAGAGTCCCCTGTTGTGTTAGATGGATTAGTGCCTGGGGATCCCGCTTCACCATCACTTCGGCCAGCCGAAGTATCAACAACAGTGGCAACAGCAGGAGCGGAAGGACCTTCAGATGAACCAGAAGAAACGCTGCCGGTGCCATGATCGCCAGTAGAAGTTCCACTGCCACCAGAAGCACCACCAAGAGGAGCAACAGGAGCCCCTGGACCAGCATCAGAATCTCCAGCACCGCCAGCACCACCATCAGGACCAGGTCCACCATCAGGAACACCAGCAGAGCCAGAACCATTAACACCAGCGTCGGAAGCCTCACTTGAATGCGAATCTTTCTTTGTACCACTAGCAGAATCTCCTCCATCCGAGGCTTCGACGGCAGTAATGGGCAGTACTGACCGCAAAGGCACCGTAATCGCCGTTTTATTGCATCCGTCAGGCATGTGGGATCCATTCTCACCCAACACTCCCGACGCCATGCAGCCACCCAGTGCGTTGGTGTCAACGTCCCTCGCATAAACACCGCCGGCAACGCACCACAGCACGCAGAGGGCACACACCAGCAGCACACGGCCGGTCATCATCATCGCCATCACTCCTGTCACTTGCGTGCAGCCTTCAGCACAAACTAACCCCCGTCAACGCAGAGTGAAAGCAACAAAAGACACGGCACAGTAAAAAACAGCAGCAGCAGCAGCACGCATTTCATGAGAAATATTGAACCAATGAAAGTGAAAAAAGACACAATGCGCTGCACGTAAAGAAAAACACAGAAACCAAGGAAAAACAAAATTAAACAGGCAGCAATAAAGTAAAACAGTAAAAACACACAAAAAAGAGCTGCACAGTATGGCTCCAGCGCGCACGCCTCTATTCTCAACAGTGTGTCCACGCAAACAGTTGTGTGCGTGTCGTGCGTATGCGTATGTTTGGGATGCGTTCAACGTGACGGATGTGGCGCACAGCACGGAGCACACAGCAGGGCAGCGAAAGCAAAGGAAGCAAAAACACAATCATCATAATTGCTCTTACTTTATACATCGAACCACAGTAAACACACACATGTCACCGCGGTTGAGTGGTGGCACGCACAGCCCGCATGCACCTCTTCAGCCCACAGCGGTGTACGCCAGCGCGGATGCGGCGAGCAGCAGCGGGGCACACACCCACGCAGAGCTGCTGAGGCTGCCGTCAATTTCGCGAAGACGTGACGGTGCGGTGGTGGTCGTCGTGGTTGGCGCCTCTGTATTCATCGCCGTATTACTTGGTGCCTCTGGCGCGGTGGTTGTTGTAGTATTCGTACTTGCAGTTGGTGCGTTTGTCGTAGTCGTCGTTTTTTGCACTGTGGAATCAACTTTTGAAATCGTTGCGGATAAATCCGCAGCACTTGTTTTCGCTGACTGAACAGACGCAACCGATGCATCTTGACTGTTGGCATTCTCATTGGCTTTCGGAACCGTTTTTTCTCCTACTTTGTTATTGTCTTGATCCGTTGGTGTAACGACCCCTGGACCCGGGCCCTCGTTTTTACCTTCTGCCTACCGTCCATCCCACTTATTCCCGGTTGTGGATCGGAATTCTGAACGGATTGAGCTGGTTTATCGCTACCCTCTGTCACACACACACGGACGGGCAGCAGCACAGGGCAAGCACCAACAGGGCGCACAGCAGACGGCACGTCGTCATCGTGAGTGTGGTCGTTCAGTGGTGTGGGGCTGATCTGCATAGTGAGGGACGTGGAGAGCAACAGGGAGACAAGAGGTGCGGCAGACACACACAGAGGGCACACCACATGAGGAGAAGTCAGCAGCCAGGCATGCACCGTACGCCGCACACCACGCACGACACACACTCCAATCCACGGCAGCAGGCACACACACACAGCCCTGCCGCAACACCAACGCACAGATGGAAAAGGGAGAAGCAAACAGGAGCGGCACACAAGGCTCCACCGCATGCACATACGGCGAGAGCGGTCCGTCGTGTCGGCACCCCTCACGGAGGGTGCGCACACACACAAAAGGAATAGATGCAGCGCACACAGCAACACAAAAGCAAAGTAACAATTGAAAGGAGGAGATCCCCGCACACCACGTGGATTGTTGGTCCACGGGAAGTGCGGCCAACAATTCGGTTTGTGTTCTTCCTGCTTCTCGCTGGTAAAGTGTTGCAATAGATGGTTTTATCCCTTTCGTTACTGTGGCACCTGATTCCTCACCGTTTATTGCGGTGGAAATGAAAATATGTGAGTGGACTCCCACACACCAGAATGCACCTTCGCTCCTATTTATTGGTGCACAGAAGGGCATGTGTGTTTGGTGGTGCCTCGACCATATATTTTGTGGGTGCACATTCCCCTGCAGGCTGAGGGCGGGGCGACGCTCCGTCGCGGTGCACCTCCCTCGCATGCCGCCCACCGTGATTCATCGTGCATCACCCTCTCACATATTCCGTGGTGCCACACCGCTGATATTACTGCAGCCGCTGTGATTCCGCGTATTTCACGCATTTGATTGTGCCACAATACATCCGCTCGTGTGGCCGCCGCATCCAAACAGCGGCGTCCAACACCGTGAGCGGCAGTCCACATCCTTGCATGTCCCAACGCAGTGGTGTCGGACTGTCAGCCAGGCGTCACACAACACGAGAGTCTTGTGCTGGCAGTACAACACACGGAGCTGCAGTGAATGACTCGGGCGGCGACGCATCTATTTGTCGCAAGGCAGTGAAAAGGAGTCGGGCAAAATAATGCCGGCTGCATTCACGACACCACATCCACAGCCAACGCATGCGACGTGATGTGTGTTTCACTGGTGCTGTGAAATGCCTGCAGACGACGTCACCAGTGGAGGCATGCCACCCATGATCAGCGGACAGACAATAATCGGCATGGGAGGCCACAGAAGGCAGCAACGACGCCAACAGCAGGAGCAGCTCTCTCTCTCTCTCTCTCCGTTGCCTTCGAGAAGAAAATAATCCACCAGCCACAGCTGACTGTGCCATCGTGACGCTCCATGCACGTCGTGGCTGCGCCAACACATCCTGCTCCCTGCAGCACCTCAAAAGATGCCTCACTCCGTCCACTAAGTGCATCGATGTGGGCCGTGCCTCGGCTGTTCGTGAGGACCACAACGATGCGAGGGTCACCGAGTCGCAGCATTTTTGTTGTGACGTTGTTGCATGGCACCTGCACACACACGCAGCGCCTGCATCCCTCCCTTTTGTGTTCGCCCTCCGCCGGAGTGGCCACACACACGGGCAGCAGCAAATTCATTTCACCCTCGATGACACAAAATCAACACTGACATCCCTCGCGACGCAAACATCTCGGTTGCCAGCACGGGCTTCCTGTCGCTCTGCCATCGACGCTGAAACACGGCACAGTGCACGCACTCATTTCCCTCGTGTGCAGTCAGCCGTTTGCTTCACACATTCTTCGATGGGCTGACGTCCACAAATGCACGCCACAAATGCCACTGTGATCGCACACGCTCTTGCGATGAGCGTCGGTGTGTGCATGGACCCGCTGCCCACACGTGCTGGCAGGCAGCCTGCAGCCGGTGCCCTCGTGCCAGCTCATCGGCTCCAGCACGGAAATAGAAAATGGCCCATTCCCGATGCACTTATTCCCACCAGCAGCACCAACACGCTGGTCGCCAGCCGTCATTCCTCAGCACATCCAGGAATGCCGAAAAGTGACGTGGAGCTGTCGGCCAGCAATGCCACAATCCCCGCACACATGTCGGCTCCACCAGAGAAGACACAAAAATTACAAGCGACACCCTTCACATGTCATCCGAACGTCATTCCGACACACCGCGACACGCCAAACAGAAGTATTCGTCACTCCATGCACCTCCTCACGCAATCACATGGTCCATGCACCACGCACGGCAGCAGCTCACACGCGGTCAAACAAATGTTCTTCGGATCAGTGTTGTCCACGTGTTGTAGTGGGAAGTAAACAAAAGAGACGAGCCGCCAAACCCCAAAAGAGTGCCACGACTGGCCGCAAGTCAACGGAACGCAGCCACTCAAATGAATTCAGTCCTAATGCCCTCAACCTCCCACCTTCTCCCACAAAAGCCCCAAGAGACGCAAATCAAACGCCCCGTCAAATAAAGTCGCTGTGCAACACCAAGTGAAGCCGCAGTGCCTCCTGCTGTCATCCGGGACCGTTGTGGACGCCTTCACGGGGACAGACACCCACCGGATATTACGAACGGCGCTGTACACCTGCGACGCATCCGACGCTTTGGGAGGCACGTGCCTCACTATCACCAGAGACGCCCATGCGCCGTCGGACGCCCCACACAACCAATGACGCAAGTATACGTCAGAGTGACAACGAGGCATCCGCTAGCAATCACACCGCAGGCATCATCGCAAGCAGCACCAGCAGCGCTGCAGTCAACTGTGGGGTGCCATGGACCAACTGATGCATGACGTATGTAGAAGAAAGAGCGTGGCGGCTTTAGAAGGATACGAGTAGCTAACACTTCCTTAACAGGATGAAAACAGTATGGAAACAATAAGAAAAATTCAGGCGTCCACAGTCAAAGCAAGCCGCCGATCAAAAAAGCGGAATGGATGCACTCAACCACACCACAAATAAAACAATACAAAAACAAAAACAAGAAGCCGAAGCGTGGGACGACCAGCGCACACACACTCTCATTGCTCCCGTAAAGCAAAACACACACACAGGGAGAGAGAGAGAGGTCGCCCACTCAATGCAATAAAAACAAAACAGAAACAGTTACGGTGCTCCGCCCATGCGGCCAGGCAGGACGGCAGCGGTGCGTGTCGTGCAAAAGAGAGCACCAACGGGCCTGCATGGGTGTGCATGCATATATACAATGGGCACATTATTGTGTGTGCCTCGTGGGGTGAGGTGAGGGCGAGAGTCCATGCAAGGGGACACACACACAGAGAGAGAAGGACGAGTGTGTGTGCGGGCGGTGCACGGCTCTCTCACACTCACTCTCACGCGGCCACCACCGCAGCAGCAGCCGCACACGCAACAACAACAAGAAGCAAAAGAGGGGAGGTGGTGTGGGAGACCGCGGTGCTGCCGTCACTGTCGCCTGTATTTGCGGTGGCATTTGTACGAAGAGCAGTTTTGTCTTTCGCGGATTCTTCGCCACTTTCCGCGGGGTGTTCATGCTGTTGATGTTGTTGGACTTGTGCTTCATCACTTTGCTGCTGCTTTTCATTTTCTTCTTCTTCCTCTTCTTCTTCTTCTTCTTCTTCCCGTGTGTGTCCAGTGCCGGATGTCGTCCGTGCCGGTACTTCGGCTGGCGAGGAGTCGTTAGCCGCTGCTGCAGCAGACGACTGATCTCCTGTTGGAGAGTCCCCTGTTGTGTTAGATGAAATACTGCCTGGGGACCCCGCTGTACCACCACTGCTGCCAGTTGAAGAATCAACACCAGGAGCAGCAGGACCAGCAGCAGAAAAAGGAGCAGGAGGAGCAGCAGGAGCAGGAGGAGCAGCAGAAGGAACAGAAGAAACGCTGCCGGTGCCATGACCTCCAGTAGGAGTTCCACCGCCACCAGAAGGAACGGAAGGAGCACCAGGAGTAGGAGGAGAAGCAAGACCAGAACCAACACGAGAAGCAGGATGAGAAGGACCGGAAGAAATGCCACCGGCGTCTTGATCTCCAGCAGAAATTCCTCTGCCTCCACCGCCTCCAGAACCAGAACTGTCTCCACCGCCTTCAGAACCAGAACTGCCTCCACCAGCATCAGAACCTCCACCAGTAGCACCACGATCACCAGAAGCAGCAGGAGAACCAGCAGAAGCCCCGGCAGCGCCATTACCAGGAGAAGAACCAGCGTCGGAAGTCCCACTTGAATGCGAATCGTTCTGTTTTTCAACAGAACCTCCTCCATCCGAGGCTTCAACGGCAGTAATGGGCAGTACTGACCGCAAAGGCACCGTAATCGCAGTTTCATTACATCCGTCAGGCATGTGGGATCCATTCTCACCCAACACTCCCGACGCCATGCAGCCACCCAGTGCGTTGGTGTCAACGTCCCTCGCATAAACACCGCCGGCAACGCACCACAGCACGCAGAGGGCACACACCAGCAGCACACGGCCAGCCATCATCGCCATCACTCCTGTCACTTGCGTGTAGCCTTCAGCACAAACTAACAACACGTCAACGCAGAGTGAAACCAAAAGAGAGAGACAAGTCACACAACCACGCACCGTCCCATCCAGCAATGAGAGTCACTCACGTCGAGGCAGAGGAAATCGGCGCGATTGAAGAACTTGCACACCGCACTGCAAACCAGAAGTTAGGCAAGGAAAAACAGAATTGAGTGTCCGGCAGGACTCTCGGAAAAAATAAATAAATTCATTCGGCAGGGCATTTATTTCATGTGTCAAGCGGCACAATAAGAGCATGTGTTTGTGTATAAGTAATGCCTGGATTGAATAAATCGAACAAAGATCGTACTGTTCCACCAGCCCACACAACATCCCCAACATTTCATTGCGGCATCCGGCCTGTCCCTCCAATCCTCCTTTCGTGCAGTCCGTGGGACGCACAGCAATGAGGCCGGCACCGCGTGTGGGCAACAACAAAAAAAACAAGAGGGAGGAGCACGTCATTCATGACAGTGTGCAGCAACCGACCATTAAATAAAGGAACAGCAAGGATGCTTATCATTCCAGGAAGGCAACAAAACCAACAGTAAAATGTAAATAATAAAAGAAAGCACGCAGGGAACGCGGCACATGTTCTTCGTGAGGAGTCGCAATGCCACACTCTTCGGCTCACAAGACCGCCACAACTCCACACAATCCCAGAAGAAGCAGCAACACCCAATACACGCACACACGCACAGTGCTGCCAACAGTTAACTCTCGCAGTGTCAATTTCGCGTCATTTCGCAGGGCAAAGCAGTCGTGTAGACTCACACCGCTCCCGGAATACTGCGCGGTGAATTCTCGCAATTGAGGCTCTCTTGTCCAGAGGCATTGCGTTGAGTCAATCCGCCCGCATCACCCTCAGCAACAAATCCACTGCCTGCAACGCCACTTTCTAGAACGAGAGATTTGTGTCCAGTGGCGCTGCGCTCACTCACCTCGTCCGTGTTATCCGCAGCAACGTGTTCCCTGCCGCCATAAGTGACAGACACGATCCCGGATGCATTCGACGCCACTAATATTCTCGGGCCGTTGGCAAAGGAAGGCCTCTTCTTGGATGCATTCGGGACCATCACTTCGTTCTGATTGCTGGCAAACTCAGGCCTCGTCTCGGACGTGTTGGTCGCCGTGTTGGATGCGGGACTCGGATCGACGGTGTTGGCTCCGTCAGCCGCCGCAGACCGTCGCCAATCCTCGTGTTGACGTGACGGCTCAGCATTCACTTGCGGCGCAGTTGTCCCACCAGATTTTGTGTCATCCCTCCCTTCACGGGGTGGCGGCAACTGACGGATGCCCGTCCGGTCAGCATCGCTGCTCCGTGCAGGCGGATGGATGGTTCCATCGGGGGAAAATTAACGCCACCACAATTCACAAGGGCCGGCGTATTTATGCGCCGTCACATTCATCGTGAAGGCAACGGTGGCCCCTTCCTATTTCCGCTGCACAGCTGGCAGCACAGTTGCTACATGTGTGCACCGCATGGGCCACATGGCACACAGCACCCAGCTCACCATTCCTGCCATGCATGCGCACACCAAAGCCACTGAAAGTGTAATTCTCATGCTGAGCCTCAGAACCGGCAGCAGAACACTTCTTCCAAGCCCACACACACACGCACGCGATAGCTCAGGCTGCCGTCACTCGGAGCACACGACACATCCACCGGCACAACCACCGCATCCGCATCACCAGATACATCTCCAGCACTCCCAGCAGCCGTCACACACACGGACGAGCAGCAGCAGCACAAGAGCGCAACTGCCAGCATGCACTGCAAAAGGAGCATTCAAATCCACTGCAATGTGCATCTTGTGGTTGTGTGGTTGTGTGTGCCTGCAGAAACACAAAACAAGACAAAAAAAAACAGCGACCAGAGCATGTGGAGAGACGCACAAAAATGTACAGCGGAGGTGCATGGCGGAAACAACAAGAAGAAGAAGGCCGCTCAAACTCATGGCTGCACTGCAGCCCATGCAGCGGCAATTCACACAAGATTTGTTTAAAAACCAAAAAACAAAAAAAAAAGCTTTCCCCTTCGTCTTAAATAAACCCCATCACACAAAATAATTATAAATAAAAAAGAGAAGTCGTCCATTACTGTCCCACACAAATTTAAACAATCGCCTGGCTGCCGTGTGGCCACACCAAACTGTCCGCATTTATTTTGCCCGCAAAAGAAAATTAAAAGATATTTAAATGTCTTTCAACCGTCTGACCCTCTGCGTGTCCGCACATCGTTTATATTTCATGGGTCATCTGCGTGTTGCTGCTCCCCTCAGCCCTCTCATCGGCGTGCGAGTGCGGCCCGCAGCGCACAGTCACTCGTGTGCGTGGGGACTGAGAGAAGCACGCAGACACGACGGGAGTCGCGTCACTCCATCGGGAGAGTGAGCGCAGCAAAAGAAAAAATCATCGGAAGGGAGAGAAATGCTCACGAGGCCGACACCGAAGGGACTGCCGGCGCGAGAAATGCACACGCAAAGCAAAAACATTACTTTAAAGAAAAACACGGCGGCAGGGTGTGGCTGTGTGTGTGTGGCGCTGCGGGTGTCTGCCAGCCCTGGCCGCAAAGAAAACAAAACAAGAGGGAAGAAATGTGTGCTCCGCCCCACAGGCCCTCGTCGCACGCCCACACGTCACGGCTCCCTCAGCGCGCCGTTCGTCGCGGCCCTTCCTCATGCGTGCAGCAGGCGAGGCGCACAGGGCCGTCGTCATGAGCGTGTCGGTGGGTGTGCGAGTGGAGCAGTTGGGCGGGAACACACGGCGCCCTCGCAGGAAGAGTGCAGCAACAAACAATTAAAGAGGGAAGAGTAGAAAAGAAAAAACGTCCATAGTGATTGCCCCCAAAAGCAAAAAAAGGAGGAATGGGGAAGTAAGAGATAAAAAAAAAAAGGATTTTGAAAAAAGACACACACATAGAGTCGCGCAACACAACAAAAAACTTAAAAACGCACAGCAAAGCAAACAGGGAGAAAAGCAAATAAAAGTTATTTGTGAAAATAAATTCATTAACAGGTGTGTGTGTCGGTGCAGGGGAGGGCGCAAGTGTTCCACGCGGCAGCCAGTCACTCCTCACAGAGCCGCAAACCCCCACAGTCCCAACAGCAGAAGAAACAGCGATGGCACCATTCCGCTCTCACTTACAGTGCCAGTATCGCTGTTATTTCCCTGCGCCACATTTCCGAGGCTGCTGCTGAGTGCCGTAGCATTGACTTCCCTGTCCTGTGTATTAACCTCTTCCTCGTGCCCATTCGTTCCTCCTTCTCTTGTCTCCATCGTTGGCTCGCCATCAGCAGTAGAACCGCCACCCACAGTTTTAGTTCCATCGGGAGATGTTCCTGACGTCACCTGCACCACGGACTCCTCTTCTGCTGAGGGAGTACTGACAGTGGACACCGCTGATGCGGATGCACCGTCACTGCCCGCACCACTGCTCCCCATCGACTGTCCCTGTTCTGTCAGCTTTGTTCCGGCAGGAGTAGACGGATTTCCGGCTTTCTGACCATTCGGGGTCACCGGAGGAGCGGGAGGTATAATGGAAGCAGAAGAAACTGTTGAAGGTTTCGCCGCCTCCTTTTCCAAAGATGGAGTGGAGTCTTTATTCGGGTCGATGGCGCCAATCTCTTCAGAGCTCAACGGGCGGTTGTACAGCAGGACGTTCGTCACCGTCACAGACACGCCTTCTTTGTTGTCTGTGCTGCCTCCATCCCCTCCAATGTAGAAGTGGGAGATCCCTTTCGAATGTGTATTTTCCAATTCACGTGGCACATCCTCACCCACTTGCTTACCATCGACGTACGCGGAGACCTGGTTGCCGTTCCGTATCAAAAGCACCACGTGTTGAGTTTCCTCTTTCTCCCAAGTGTTGCTGTTCTCCTTAGTTGTATTGCCACCACACAGCAACTGCCATTTCTTTTCGCTGTCGTATGACAACTCCATAAGTTTGTTTTTTTTTCCATCACCATTCAACATCACACCCATCAAAGGAATAGGATTATCTTCCTTCGGCTTACCGTCGATGGACACCGTCGCCACAAGAGTGAAGTTGTAGTTCGCAAAGTGGTACAGCTGATTCTCCCCCTGCTCGCCAACAGGCCACTCCGCCCCTGCGCCACGCCCTGTGAACTTCACGCCACTTTCTACCTGCTCCGCCACATCATTCTCCTTTACTGTGGCGTTCACCCCGAGGTACTCGTCTCTCCATGTGTTATCAGAGAAGTTGCCGGACAAAAAGCCAACCAGCCCTTTCGTCGGCATGGCAATGCGGCAGGCATCTTCAGGTGAGGTAACATCCTGAGCGACTGAATTGGTGCACAGCTTGGAAACAATGCCGTCCACTTTCTTCCACGTCGCCAGCACCTCCTTCACCCGCTTCAGCTGCTCAGTCAGAAGCACAGAGACCATACCGAGTGATGCTGTATCTTTATCACCGCCCTTCTTCTCGTACAGTGCAATCAACTCATCATTTTTATCTCCACTTTTGTACAACAGGGAGCTGGCGGCAGCGTCATCACCGGATACCGGCCCAATATCAACAATGTGCGTGTTGTCCGTCAGCCAGAGATGGAGTTTACCGTTTTCATTCTTTTCATGACCTTTTCCTTCTCCGTTCTTGGCATACACTGGCAGAGCAACGAGCATCACTTTCTTATTATCATCTCCAACAGTCGCTGTGATGAAACCGCTCCCAACGCCCTTCTCAGGTCCCGTGTGTTTGTTGCCCCACACACGCGAGAGTGTCCCGAGTGCCTCCGTCCACGAATTCCCCTTGTCACCGGACTCGTACACCCTGCGGCGGCCATCATCACACGCAGTCATCATCATGAGTTTGTCCTTCTCCCACTCCACGACGGAGGGATCACTGCAGCCACCGGCAGAAACATCCTTCGACAGCTTCCAACCCTCATTGCCCAAGGAGTATATGACCAGCGAAACGGTGTTTGTTCCTCCAGCTGCGACATTGGACTTAATGCCTTCCACTGGGAACACAAGCGTACCGTCCTTCATCTTAACGCCCGATCCACCTCCGCCAATCAAATCTGTCAGAGATTCTTGTTGTTGCACGTTAGAAATGCTCTGGAGAGCGTCAACATCATTCCAATAAATTCGTTTTTTACTCTCCTCATCAACACTGACGTTCCCTCTCGACAGCAAAAGTCCCCAATAAGCCGAAGTATTATCGGCATCATCAAGGTTGTAGATTCCAACAAGCATGTAAATATCTCTTCCATTCACGACTGTTGTTGGTCGGGCCACATCTACTCTCTTCTCGCTTTCGGTGCCAGACTCATCCACTGCTTGGGTGGCGCATCCCTCTTTTCCAGAAGGACATTCCTCCAGTACTTCCGTCTTCACCTGAGTTGTTTCCAGGGCTTTTGGTGTTCCATCACTCAACTTTAGGAGCTCCAAGGCAACCCCAGTAAAATCTTTATTATTCTTCGTGCCCTCCGCCTCGGCAAAGGCAAACACTTTCCCGTTCATTTCAACAAGACTGGGGACACGGAGCGAGCTCACCGTTTCCTCGTCATTCTTTTCTCTCCAAACAAAACTTTTCCCATTTAAAAATTTCGCAGCTGGCGCCGCCTCACCAGCGGCCGCAGCTCCACCAGTGTTGCAGCACATCATCACAAAAAGGAGGAGCAGCACCGCGGAGTAGAGGAGATGCCGCGACATGTTGTGCCCCTGCGGCTCACTCTCTCCTCCTTCCCTCCTCCTTCCGCTGGATGTGGTCAAGCGGCAACGGTTGTGTGTACGGGGTGCCTTCACTGCAGCAACACGTGAGAGCATACAAATATGTGTGTGTGGACTGTGTGTTGTTGGTCCTTTCAGAGCCTTCGAATTTCACAGTATCGATTCGCGCTTGTTTTCCTTCTTCGTAAGAGAGTGATTGATAAAGAAATAGAGAGAAAAAATATGGATAGAAAAGGTGAAACAGTGAGCACCGTCACCCATCCACAGTGAGTGGCACCATCATCCCCGCCGCAGTCACTCCCAAAAACAACAACTCACGCACACAGACACACGGAAAGAAAAGGAAGAACAGTGCACCGGGAACACACAACGAATGCCACCAGCAGCAGAAGCCACGGCGAGTGCGTAATTATTCGTCACACATCAGCACGCACTCAGCAACGCCCACACAAAAACCAATCAGCAGGATCCAAAAGGGTCCAACCGCCCTTCGCAGCACCTACGCGCTGCCGCCAGTCCGTTTGCTGCGGTCTCCACCATCGCACCTTCGCCGCCGCACGTGCGGCACCACCCCGCACAGCCAGACAATACCGCATCGAATAATCCGCAGCTGGAGAGACACGTCGGCACGCTCAGCTGCTCGGCGGGAATCCATACACACTTATCCCAGGCACCCTCAATGCCACGTCACACATGGGCAGCACTCCAAGAAAGTCACGCTCACCGCACGGCAACAAAACAAGACGCGGTGTTCCGTCATCCCTCTTCCCAAGAGTCACCACAGCCAAAATCCTCTGCGTGCGTGCGCTCCCAGCGTTCACGCCGCTCCACAGCGTGTGCAACACGGTCTGAGTGTGTGTGTGCATGTGCCTTTGTGTTTGTCAGCGCCTACACCTGTGGAGCAGCTGTGCGGATCAAGAGAGAGCAAAGAAAGCAACGGCAGAGAGAGGCAGATAGCACACACGCAAATTCCTCATGCCATCACACGCAGCCAGCGGAATGGATGCACTCAACCACAAAACCAAAAAGGAAAACAAAACAAAAAGCCGAAGCGTGGGACGACCAGCGCACACACACTCTCATTACTCCCGTAAAGCAAAACACACACACAGAGGGAGAGAGAGAGGTCGCCCACTCAATGCAATGAAAACAAAACAGAAACAGTTACGGTGCTCCGCCCATGCATCCAGGCAGGACGGCAGCGGTGCGTGTCGTGCAAAAGAGAGCACCAACGGGCCTGCATGGGTGTGCATGCATATATACAATGGGCACATTATTGTGTGTGCTTCGTGGGGTGAGGTGAGGGCGAGAGTCCATGCAAGGGGACACACACAGAGAGAGAAGGAAGAGTTTGTGTGCGGGCGGTGCAAGGCTCTCTCACACTCACTCTCACGCGGCCACCACCGCAGCAGCAGCCGCACACGCAACAACAAGAAGAAGCAAAAGAGGGGAGGTGGCGTGGGAGACCGCGGTGCTGCCGCCATTGTTGCCAGGCGTCGCGGTGTCATTTCTCATGGTGATGGTGACATTTTCTGTTGAGGTTTCTTCTCCTGCCTGAAGTTCCGTTCTTGTTGGTGATGGTTCTGCGGAAGATGCTCGTGGAGTTGTTTTTGTTACTGGTGGGTTGCTGGTAGTAGAAGATAGGCTTGTAGTGGCTTTCAGACCGACGTCTGCATTCTCCTTCTCCTTTTCAACTGCATCCCCACTACCATCTGGACTTTCCGCGGCTTCTTCTGAAGTAGAGGAGCCCTGTTTTGCTTTGGGTTCTGACCTCTCCTTTGGCTGCTCCTTGGGCAGTGCGGTTCCAAGAGACATTGCTTCCGACAGTAGACCCTTTTATGAGGGTTGCATGCTCTGAACAAATGGGGCATCGAGGACAGAGGTTGATGAAATGCCAGCCATAGAAAGAGGAGAAACCGAAGAGTCACCTCAAGAACTGCCACCGCCTCCACCACTACTTCCACCATCACCATTGGGGTCCAAGACAGTTCCACCACCGGAACCTGAACCGTCAACAGCAGATTGTTTGCCACCATAAGAAGCAGAATTATCCAAACTGGAACCTCCATCTCTTTTAGAACCTCCAACAGAACTGCCACTGGGTCGAGTTCCATCAGATTCTGGTGATTGTGGCGGTCTTATTGCTTGGCCCGCCTGTCCTGCATGTTCTGCTGTTTTATCTTCACTGGTCAACATTTTGTCTGCTGGTGTTGGAGATGGGCTCCTTCCGTTTTCTTTTGGGCCATCTCGTTGCTGCGTTCCTTCTGAATGATCTTTTGGTTTTTCTTCTCCATCACTTCTTGTTTCCTTATCTTCCGCTTTCTTTGCTTCTACTTTTTCCTCTTTTCCTGCCGCCCCACCATTACCTCTTGGTGGTTGTTTGACAGAAGTTTGAGGGCTGACCTTCGCTATGTCTTGCGAATCTAATGGTTCTTCTGAGGTGTTCAACACTCCACCAACTGGAGTTCGTATATCCAGTTCTTCTTCATGGCCACCCTTAGACAAAGACTGTGAACTCCTCGATGGTTCATCTTGTAGTTCACCAACACTATCACCAAACGATACCCCCACCGCACCAAAATCGCACCACAGCACGCAGAGGGCACACACCAGCAGCACACAGCCAGCCATCATCATCGCCATCACTCCTGTCACTTGCGTGTAGCCTTCAGCACAAACTAACCCCCCGTCAACGCAAAAAGCAAAAGGGGAGACAAGTCACACAACCACGCACCGTCCCATCCAGCACAGTCACAAATGGCAATGCACGCACCACGAGGCAGTTGGAATCAGTACAATTGCAGAACTCACACAACGCCTTGCAAACCAGAAGTTAAAAATGCAGTAAAAAGCACAACAACGGATTTGAGAGTCCAGCGAAACTCCCAAAAAGTAAGAAAAGAAAAATCGATCAGGCGCGACTTTTATTTTTTTTGCCAAGAAGCAAAATGTAAACGACCACTGGTTTGCGTATACGTACTGCATGGACCGAATAAAGCAAAGAAAAAAAGATCGTACTATTCCGTGAGCCCACACAACTCTCCTCACATTTCATGCGGCATCCGGCCTGTTCCTCCTATCCTCCTCTTGTGCAGTCCGCGGGACGCACAGCCGCAGGGCCGGCACAGCGTGTGCGCAACAAAAACAAGAGGAGAAACACGTCACTCATGACAGTGTGCGGCAAGCAACCATTGGGGAAAACAAAGGAATGCTAATTATTCCAATAGGGCAAAAGCAGCAAAAATAAATAAATAAAAGAGAATAAAAAAACTTAAATTATTGACAAAACTCAGTGGGTAATGCTGGCAGGCTGCACAGTTATTGTTCCACGAAAAGCCTCAATTCCACCCTCCCTCACACCTCAGCAGAGCGCCGCAGTGCCTGGCAGCCCCAGAATCAGAAGCAACATCACCCGAGACACACACCCATGCGCGGCGATGCCGCGAATTTCAGCCATGGCCAACAAATCCGTGAAGTGCCCGTGCTCACAAAAACCGTTGCTCACAAGTGATGCTGCGTCGTGCTCCGATGGGATCTCTGGTTTCTCGGACGTTGTGCGCAAATAATCCTGTGCGGCATCACCGCCACCCGACAAGTTATCACTCGCTCAACATTTGCTAGGGCTATGCTGGACTCAGGCGTGGATATTGTACCATCCAAGGGCGCTAGATCACTGTTGCTGAGTGAATCGGGGCCGCCATCCGTGCCCACGGCAGTGCGGCCATACGTGTCCTATTCGTGCTCAACGTCTTGTTATTCGCTGGCACCTGTGTTGGCGGTGGACGGCTCGTTGTCTCTCGCTGAGAATGCCTTTGGATCCGCTGCGCTGCCACTTGACTCCCCGGACAGCCGAGCTCCCTGTGGGGCCTCACCGCGCAGCCGCTGGCAGCCCTGCATGCTCCTGCCGAGCGGTGTGTCCTGCCACTGAGCATGGCCACAGACAGTTCCCAGTTTTGCGCCTGGCAGCAGCATCCAAATCGCCCACACGAGTTCCTGCTGCCACAGACTCCCTCTCGGCGATTGAGGCACTCCGCCTTGGCTCGCTGGCCGTGCGAGACTGCGTTACCAAAGGGATTTGGATTATGCTACTTTTCGTGGTGAAGCGAGGCCACTCTGTAGAATGCGTGTTCTCCCCATCGCGCTGCGGTGTGCCATGCAATGAGGCCGCTGAGAAAGAAGCCGCGGTTGCAAGTTCCCTCCCCGCAATGGGGTGTACCAATCTGACACGTGGAATTCCTTGCCGCGGTCAAGAGGTTATGCCGGAAGGAAGTCCAGGAGGAAGAGGAAGGCGCGCACACCACACTACTGGCGCTCGTCGGTATAGCGAAAACTCCATTACTTGTGTCCGGCCAAATGTTGTGCCACGACCCGCAGCCCCGCGCACAACTGCGATGCGACTCCTGCCCACTCTTCGGTAGAATGGCGCACGCCCTGCAGATTACAGGCGGCCCTTTATGTCGGTAGCGCCTTCCCTCCCACACCGAGGAGATCGACCCGCTCCTGCCTCCGGAGCCTCCACCTCGCGTGAGAACCGCAAATCTTTGTTGACCAACTAGCGGCGGATTGACGTTCTCCTGCCCAATCTGCAGCAGCGTCTTCTCGTCCGTCCACAATATGAGGGCGTTTGCCGGACGTGCCCGGCCTGGCGTTCCGATGGTCGAAGAACGCCTCGCATGCGGACGCCGCAATGGCGGCACCGTCCTCCTAACAGGCGCCTCGCGCACAGGTCGCCACCGATATTGCCAAGCATGCCAGCAGAACAAACATGCAGGAAGCACAACCGCGGGAACTCAATATGGAACAGGCTCTTCCGCCGCCGCCGCATCACAGACGCCACGGGCTGCCGATCCCCATCCCCACGGACAACGGGAAACTCCGCACCATCCACTGCGGGAATGCCCTCATCATTGGGAATAGGGACCGCGACTGTTTGTGACTGCCTCAGCCCGCACGACGGCCCGTTTGCGACGGAATACTTGCCATTTTTGTACGGACGGCCCTTGCGCTGCTCACTCGTTGCTGTAGCAGCGTACAAATACAACAAGATAAAAGGTTGCTTTGTGATGAATATTGGCTGCACTTCCCGTGGACCAACAATCCACGTGGTGTGCGGGGATCATTCCCTTTTTAATTGTTGTTTTGCTTTTGTGTTGCTGTGTGCGCTGCACCTATTCCTCGTGTGTGTGTGCGTACCCTCCGTGAGGGTGCGGGCACGACGGACCGCTCTCGCCGTATGTGCATGCGCAGCGGAACCTTGGATGTGTTGTTATTTTTGCTTTTTGCTTTTTAGGAATTCTGGTTCGCGGGGTGGTTTTTTAGATTTACAATTGTACTGATTCCATCTGTCTCATTTGTGTGTGTAAATTGCTTTCATTTGTTACTATGTGTGACTCTCATTGCTGGATGGGACGGTGCGTGGTTGTGTGACTTGTCTCTCCTTTTGCTTTCACTCTCTGTTGACGTGTTTTTAGTTTGTGCTGAAGGCTGCACGCAAGTGACAGGAGTGATGGCGATGATGATGACCGGCCGTGTGCTGCTGGTGTGTGCCCTCTGCGTGCTGTGGTGCGTTGCCGGCGGTGTTTATGCGAGGGACGTTGACACCAACGCACTGGGTGGCTGCATGGCGTCGGGAGTGTTGGGTGAGAATGGATCCCACATGCCTGACGGATGCAATAAAACTGCGATTACGGTGCCTTTGCGGTCAGTACTGCCCATTACTGCCGTCGAAGCCTCAGATGTAACAGATAATGCTGGTGGTAAAAAGAACGATCCGAATTCAAGTGGGACTTCCAACGCTGGTGTTAATGGTAGTGATCCTGCTGCTGTTACTGGTCGTGGCTCTGGTGGTGTTCCTGGTGGTGAATCTGATGCTTCTTCTGGTGCCGGGGCTCCTGCTGCTGCTGGTGGTGGAGGCAGTGGAGGCAGTGGAACTTCAGCTGGCGGTCATGCCACCGACAGCGTTCCTTCTGATGCTCCTGGTCCTGCTGCACCTCCTCCCGCTAATGCTGCTGGTCATTCGGGTGGTCCTCCTGCTACTGCTCCTGGTGTTAATTCTTCAGCTGGCAGCAGTGATGGTACAGCGGGGTCCTCAGTCACTAATCCATCTAACACAACGGGAGAATCTCAAACAGGAGATCAGTCGTCTGCTGCAGCGGCTAACAACTCCTCGCTACCCGAAGGAACGGAAGGAACGACATCCGGCACTGGACAAAAAGAAGAGGAAGAAGAAGAAAATGAAAAGCAGCAGCAAAGTGATGAAACACAAGTCCAACAACAACAACAGCATGAACACCCCGCGGAAAGTGGCGAAGAATCCGCGAAAGATAAAAACGCCCTTCGTACAAATGCCACCGCAAATACAGGCGACAGTGACGGCAGCACCGCGGTCTCCCACACCACCTCCCCTCTTTTGCTTCTTCTTCTTGTTGTTGCGTGTGCGGCTGCTGCTGCGGTGGTGGCCGCGTGAGAGTGAGGGAGAGAGAGCCGTGCACCGCCCGCACACACACACTCGTCCTTCTCTCTCTGTGTGTGTGTCCCCTTGCATGGACTCTCGCCCTCACCTCACCCCACGAAGCACACACAATAATGTGCCCATTGTATATATGCATGCACACCCATGCAGGCCCGTTGGTGCTCTCTTTTGCACGACACGCACCGCTGCCGTCCTGCCTGGCTGCATGGACGGAGCACCGTAACTGTTTCTGTTTTGTTTTTATTGCATTGAGTGGGCGACCTCTCTCTCTCTCCCTCTGTGTGTGTTTTGCTTTACGGGAGCAATGAGAGTGTGTGTGCGCTGGTCGTCCCACGCTTCGGCTTTTTGTTTTGTTTTTTTGTAAATTTAATTTTTTTCCTGTTTGCTTTAAATTTTTTTCCAGTCTTTTTTTGTTATTAATTTGTCCGTTTTTTTTTATTACTGACCCCTCATCTTTCTTTTTTGCTTTTGGGGGCAATCACTGTGGACGTTTTTTCTTTTCTACTCTTCCCTCTTTTAATTGTTTGTTGCTGCACTCTTCCTGCGAGGGGTGCCGTGTGTTTCCGCCCAACTGCTCCACTCGCACACCCACCGACACGCTCATGACGACGGCCCTGTGCGCCTCGCCTGCTGCACGCATGAGGAGGGGCCGCGACGAACGGCGCGCTGAGGGAGCCGTGACGTGTGGGCGTGCGACGAGGGCCTGTGGGGCGGCGCACACATTTCTTTTCCTCTTGTTTTGTTTTGTTTGCGGCCAGGGCTGGCAGACACCCGCAGCGCCACACACACACAGCCACACCCTGCCGCCGTGTTTTTCTTTTGTTCTTTTTTTTTCTGTGGACGGATGTTTGCTGCTGCCACCGTGCGGTGATGGAGGGTGGGGAGCTGTGCTGGCTGTATTGCCGTCCAGCTGCGCATTTTCACTGTCTTCTTTACTTAATGGGTGTCTGCTACATACCGTCATGGGTGACGTGTTTCTCCTCTTGTTTTGCTTTTGTTTTTGCCTACATGCTGTGCCGGCTCCGCGGCTGTGCGTCCCACGGACTGCACCAAACGATGATTGAAAAAACGGGCCGGATGCCGCACGAAATGTGAGGGATGTTGTGTGGGCTGGTGGAACAGTAAGGTCTTTTCTTTGACTTCTTTTTCTTGTTGCAGGCAGTATGCATACACAAACACATGACTGTATGGTACTCCTTGGAACAGGAAATGAACTTCTTTCCGAATCAATTTTATACTTTTTTTCCATATTTTTGGGAGTTCTTCTGGACTCTCACCCTTTTTTCTTTTGTTTTTGTTAAATCGCTGCGGTTCATTTTTTTTCTTTGTGTTTTCACTGGTGCTGAGTGCTTACGTGTCCCGTTGATTGTCCCTCTGGCAGCCGTGCTGTTGTCACGCCCTCATTTTTTTTCTTATGCTAGAGGCACCGATGGTCCGCGACGACGATTGTTTGTGGTTCCCATTGCGATGGCAGGAGGGTGACTGGCGCCGGCCTGCTGAGTGTACTTGGAGGGAGCGGATGGTGTGCGCCGTGCCTCACTGTGAGTGTGGGACGCCACCCGCCACGGCCTGCTGTGGGGCGTAATTCCAATTTGTCGGGGAAGAGAGAAGTAAGGGACGGTGCCGTGGACCTGTATGCGCTCCGTCACTCTCTTTGTCGCCGTGGGTGTGCCGTGCGCATGGCTCCTTCTTGCGGTGCGACGTGGATGACGGTGCTTCTGCGTGCGTTGTGCGGCGGGCTTTTCTTCTCCATTTCTTTGCCCTTTTGTGTGTGGGAAAGTTGTGGGAGAGGATATGTGTGAGGGAGTGAGTGTGAGTGGCTGCCAGCCTCGCCCCGCGCATTGAGGACTTCGATACACGTGGCTTTGCTTGACGGCGTTTCGCGGCACCCAGAGTGTGGCGAGGAGGAGGATGGGGAAGATCTGTTGTGGGCAGAAGGAGGATGGACAGGACAGTCCCCTTCCGTGTCATTTCTGATGTTGTTGGCAGTACATACTGAGAGCGTAAATTTAAGCGAGTGCGGGATGAAAGGTTTATGCCGCTTTGTGTGTGCTACTCAGTCGTCGTCATTGCAGGCTGTCGTCACGGTGCGTTGTGGTGCGGTGCCGTTTGATGAGGGAGGGGCGCGATGCCACGGCTGCTGTCCACCACAACCATTTATTGCCTCTGCACCGTCATTGTTGTTTTTCGGTTTGTGTGAATTTTTTTGCGCTTGCATAATATTTTCTTTTGCTTCACGATGAATTTATTGGAGGAACTTTGTTTTTGGTGCCTGCTTCACGGCGTTTCGCCTTGTGTGTCGGTTGCGATGCTTCTACGTGGTGCTGAAGCGTTTGGTGGGGTGTTTATTCTTCTTTTTGCGCCCTGCAGCTAATCTTGTTTGGCCATGGCGGGAGCAGTGGAGCTCTGCGACTGCGTGCTTGCCGTGTGTGTCTCATCTTTTGCCGTTGCTTCCTCGTTGTGTTGGTGGGGGAGGAGACGAGCGACTGCGTCGGTGGAGTTGCGCCCCGGTGGAGAGGGAAGGCACTGACCGCTGCTGACGGCGACGGTCTTTGCTGCAAGCGACCTGACGGGAAGATGTCACCGGTGTCACAGTTAACCGAGATGGATGAGGGCCGCACTGCGTCTCCCACCCCTTTCATCATCCCCTCAATCCACTGCAGTCACACGCCACACGCACCGCACGGCAGCGGCGGGACCACCATCCGGATGTCTGGGAGCCAATCGGAATGTGCAATCGGTGTGGAATCTTTTTCCCGTGTTTGAGTGCTGCCGCCGTGCCTCTTTATTTTTTCTTTCTTGTGTATGCCGTGCGCGCATGGTGCCGCTGCTTGCTGTGCAATGCCGACTCGCGTGAACTAGAAACGACGCTTTGACTGCTGGCGACCGGCGAGCTCTCCGCTTTACTTACGCACCACCACCAACAACACCTTTTGGACGCGCTTGATGGCTGGCGGTCGTATCGCCGCCACGTGATCTGCCCCGGCTCTTGTGTGTCGTGCACGGCATCGGGACCACCATGTGATGCAGCCATTCGGTAGCAGGAGCGGTGCCAGTGGTAATGTGGCTTTTTGCCGAGATTCCGCCACTCGGCACGGTGGCTGTGTGAGGCTGTGTGGGAAGTGGGAGGACGATGGCGTCACTGACTTGATTGCGTCTGCGCGGCTTTGTGTCGGCGGTTGTACTGTGGTGGAGATTGTGTATGACCGGATGCCTCTGCGTGCCACTGTGTTTGGTTGCTGTTGTTCTTTCTGTCTTTTATTCTTTTTTTTTTTTTTTTTGAGCGTGCAGTTCGAGATACTTTGGCTTTGCCAGCACAACTATCGTTTCAAGGTGTTAAGGATTAATTGCAGTATTAGGATTGGTAGTACTGGGATATCGATCTGGCGGAATCGTGTCACTGGATTCGCCATCTGTAGGAAAGGATTTGATAGACAGGAGGAATGGTCGACGGGGCGAGAGCGACACAACGCGACAGCCCTGCTGATACGTGTCTGGGTCGGTGGATGCAGTCTTCGGTGGGTGCGTGTCCGCGCAGCCGGCACCGTGTGCGGCGCAGGGCCATTGCGGCTGTGCGTGCGGCGCTGCTTGTGGCGTTGGCGCTGGCTGCTGCGGCGTGTATGCCCGCGGTGCATGCGGTGGTGTTGCGACTGCGGGGCGGCACGGTGGACAGAGCCATCACGGTTGGCCGCGCCGTGGACACGGTGCTGATGGACGGCGTGTCCATCACGAACGGCGTGGCTGTTGTGTTCGACGTGGCGGCGATGCTTCCCGGCGCGCTGCGCATCGAATTGAGGAACTGCGTGTGCGACGGCGGTGCGCAGATCTACGTGCGGGGCTACAGCGGCGAGCCGGCGAGTGACCGGAGCCTGGAGGTGAGCGTGAGCGGGCTGTCCGGGAGCTACTGCTCGCTTGTGTTTGTGCACAACCTGCCGGCACACACGAACGTGACGGTCCGTGACTCGACGATTGTGACGGCGGGGCCGATGCGCTACTCGCAGCTGAGCGGGCTGACGGACGCGGTGGCGTCGCCGCTTGTGCTGTACGCGACTTCGCTGTTACAGTCGCAGCTGCGTGTGAGCAACACTGTGCTGAGGTCGTCGCAGGCGGGCGGGTCGGCGGTGTACGTTGGCGGCGGCGTGGACCTGCTGTCGGGCGCGGTGGTGCTTGACGGAGTGTTGCTGGAGGCGTCGGGCGGTCCGACCGCTTCCGCGATGCGTGTGGCGTCCTCGTCGCGTCTCAGTCTGCGGAGCCACTCGGTGTTCTCCGTGACGAATGTGTCGGTTGTGAGCAGCGGCGGCGGCTTTGTGCTTGGAGAGCGCCTCGCGGTGCTTGATTCGGTGCTGCGCTTCGTGGGCGTCGAGGGGTCTGTTGCGTCGTCGCTGGTGCGCTGCGACGGTGGGACGATCGGTGGCGGCGGGTGGCTGGACCTGCACGACGTGTGGGCGGTGGGCGAGGCGTCGTCTGTGGCGTTGCTGTCGGGTGTGATGCTGAGCGGCGGCACCGTGTCGATTGCGCGCTGCGCTGCCACTGGCGCTACGCTTGTCTCCGGGCCGACGATCACGAGCGGCGTCGTGTCGGTGCAGTGCAACCGTGCCGGCGGCCGGGTGCTGCAGAGCAGCGGCGACTACCGCATGGCCGGCCTGCCCTCCGTGAGCGTGGTGCCGTGCGACGGCTGTGCGGCTGCGCTGGCGTGCTTTGATGCGCTGACGGCGTCGTTCTCCGACTGCGTGTGCAGCTGCCGTGCCGGCGGCGTGGGCGAGGCGTGCCTGCCGTTCGACGTGCCGCCTGCGAGGGCCAGTGGTGGTGGCGATGGCGGTGCGCAGGGCTGCGTGAGTGGCGTGACGCTGACGGAGTCGGTGACGGCTGGCGGCGGGCGGGCGACGGCGTGCTTCGACTCGGTGTTGTTCAGCGGAACGATCACTGTGGCGGTGGACCTGCGCTCGATGGACGCGTTCGCTGACGCGCTGAACGTGATGCTGCGCCACTGCGTG